GTGCAGTCAGATGGAAATTGAGGCCCCAACGAAGTGGAGGAAGATAAGAGAACACTAACTCAATGGAAATGTTTAAGACCCCAAATTTCGGGTGCAGTCCATCTGCCACGATGCTGAAGGGAACTGGAGAAATGGTTCGGGAACTATTGTAGACAAGCTTTGAGAAATTTTAGAAAGCAGGAAAAGCACTGGGGATAGCATTCTGACTTGCAAGAAAATTGAAAATGGAAGTTATAAAACTGTTCACCAATGGCTTCGATATTAGTCACTCTGACAAGATTTTAGATTCTAGATTCTTCAGATAACTTGTGAGCACCAAGTAGCAGGAAGAGTGAGGACTGCTCAAGCTAAACAAACCTCATTTCCCCTTTTCACAGTGTTACAGTAAAGTTACAACATTGTAAGATGGGGGAACTTTTAGAACTTTACTTGCTTTCTGCTTGGTTTCAAGCAAGAAGCACAATCTTTCAGGACATCTTTGGGGATCATATAAAGAGACCTGAGCACAGCACTGGAATTTGGTGGGTGAACTGATATTTGAACATTAATATTAATTAAATGTTGATTTGGATGATATCAGCAAAAATAGGAAAGGGAGGACCTATGAAAATTCACTCCTAAATAAAAGCAATTTTAAAAAAAAAGAATCAACTTTTTAAAAACTCTGTAAGTTAACCAAAGTCTTGCAGCAAGTTGAGGAATGCTTATTTAAAAAAAAAAAAAATGGCTGGCCCGGCTGGTGTGGCTCAGCATTTGAGCATTGATCTATGAACTAGGAGGTCATGGTCCGGTTCTGGCCAGGGTACATGCCCAGGTTGTGGCTCGATCCCTAGTAGGAGGCATGCAGGAGGCAGCACGCCCCCTCTCTTCCTCTCTCTCTCTCTCTCTCTCCCATCCTATCTGACAATCAATAACATATTTTAACAAAAATAAATAAATAAAATGAGCCAGAAAATATAGATTTGGATCCGAGTAGGTAGGGCCTTGGATGTTGGTAAAGGAATTTGGACTCCACTTGGTAGTTAATGGGAAATTTAGAATTTCTAAACAGAAACTTTGAAATGGGTACTGCTGTTTTGTCTGCTCAACACTTTCTGTGGAAAGCACCCCAGTTTTCATGGGAAAGGCATCTTTCCCCCAGCCCAGTTCATGTCACACAAGTAGAGGTAAGTGAACCCCCAATTCCACACTGATTGGTTCAGGGATTTGTACAGGATCCAAACAGAACCAATGACCAATGGGAGTCACATCTGGGATTTTAGTTATACGGCTGGTGGGGGGGCAGGGGGGACAGAGATGAGCAGATTAGAGGAACAATTTGCAAAATTTGAAAAAGATCTATAGATTAACTCTATGCATGTTAACATTTTGATTTTAATAATTGTACTATGTTTATTTAAAATGTTAACATTTAGAGTGCTGATGAAGGGTATATTGAAATTCTTTGAACTGTTTTTGCAACTTCTGGGTAAGTTCTGAAATTATTTTTAAAAATTAAATTAAAATATGAAATTTAGGGCTTGATCAACAGTAGAGAGGATGGCGTTGGGAAATACTATGGCAATAAAACGGTGAGGAGATGGTTAGATATAGAGAGATGAAAAAACAGTAAAATAACGGTTCAACTCTGAGAGAGTGGTAGCCGCACGAAAGGAAGGAGAGTCTGGAAGAGAAACGGGTTTGGGGTAAAAGGGCGTGTCCATTGGACATGCTGAAGCTTACGTGTCGAATAGCCTCCAGGTGGCGCTGCTCAGCAAACAAGGAAACGAACTGGGGCGGGCAGAAAGGCAATGGCTAAGGTTAGAGAGTTTACATACAGGAACCAGTTGTCACGGCAGGAATATGATGTAACTAAAGGAGACACTGTGGAGTGTCGATGTAAGAAACATCCAAACCTATGGAGAATTTTTATGAGTTTATTCGAGCCAAACTGTCCACAGTTGCTGGGAAGCAGAATATCATCAGACTGAGATAATGGTAGTTTTGCACCTTATTTTATACACTAGAGGCTCGGTGCACAGATTCATGCACAGGTGGGGTCCCTCAGCCTGGCCTGCGCCCTCTCGCAATCTGGGACCCCTCGGGGGCACCCCCTCTCCCCCCAGGGATGTAGCAGTGCCGAAGCGGCAGGCGGCCAGGGAGGAGCCCCAGCTGGGGTGGGCGCAGCTGGCTGAGCGGCGTTCCCGCTGTGGGAGCGCACTGACCACCAGGGGGCAGCTCCTGCGTTGAGTGTCTGCCTCCTGGTGGTCAGTGCGCGTCATAGTGACCAGTCGACCGGTCGTTCTGGTCTTTCGGTTGTAATGGTCACTTAGGCTTTTATATAGAGAGATTACAATCAGAAGAGACGTATGTGGATTACATGAAATCCATTGGTGATAGGTTAGGGAGGTGGGAGAAATCAAGGAGGGGGGAACCTCTGGGATTGTATAAAAATGATAGACACATATTTCTTTTACATGGGTGGGTACAGGATCGTTAACAGTCAATAATTAACACGGCAACAATAACAGTGAGAGCTCTCTGCCTTGGTGCACTGGTTGTGCCCTGAGGAGTCTAGAAAAAGGGGAGTTACCCTGACATTCCAGAGGAATGTTATTGTAGATGCAAAAGACAATAGACAGGCTTAGTTAAGGTGAAGATGACCTTTGCCGGGGTAGAGTCTAGCCTAGGACATGACTACCTGCCATAAACAGCTTTTAGTTAAAGAGTTTTCATTTCAGACCATCCTTTGTGGTTACTTTAGGTCTCCGAGTTTGCAAGACCAACACGCAGGCCTTACCTGAGCTTGTCAGGTTCAGTATGTGGTCCCTTTTCATCCACAGGAGAAAAAAGGCTGGTGAGGACAGCCCAGGGAAGGGGCCCCGGGGCGGCAGGCAGAGCTAACCACAGAGATTTCAGAGAAGGTAGCAGCTGAAGAACGCCTCTGCCAGAGGGGACATGTCTGGTCACAGCTAATCTCTAATATAGGAAGGAGTGTCCCAAGGTACTTCTATAACAGAGGGGTTTGGGATTGAAAAAAATGGTCGGTAATTAAAACTTAATAAATTGTTAAATGTGTTCCGACCCCTATTCCTGCACAGTTGCTGCTTTCTCAGTTGGTGCCGGCTAGCTGGTTGTCGAAATGGGAATGGGTGTTACCCTGGGCAAATTACCCACTGGCCTCCCCTATGACCTTGACATCACAAACAGATAAGAACTGATCTAATACTTAGTCCAGGTCGATCTAAGAGGACAGAGGTAAGCCAAGTGGCAGCTGTTAGAAAAACTCAAGCAGTGCAGTGAGCTGTGAGAGGATGAACCACGTGACACAGAAAATGATTCTTCCAGGTTCTTCCAACTCCATAGCTCAGTACGCTCTGCTTTCCCCCCTGTTAAATGTTCATACTATCCACTTCATATGGCTGCTGTGAGAACGGTAGGAGATAAAGTACATGACAGCGCCTAGCACAGAATAGATGTTCAGTCTCTCTATATATAAGTTGAATATGAATCTATAAATAGAGAAATCCCACTCCAGTCTCCAAGGAAGTACCAGCCTCGGCCACTAGAGGGGAGTCTCAGTCACACGCCTTTGAGGGAGAGTAAGACATAGCATGAGGTGGCATCTGGATAGACCAGCCTTGCCTAAGGCAGGACACTCACTCCCATTCAGGAAACATGGCTCCATGCTGAAATCCATGGCGTTTCTCTGAGTCACTGTATTCTCCTGACATTGCAAAATGGTTGAGCAAAAGTCCCTCGAAGGCTTTTCCTGCTTCCTGAGTAACATCTAAACTGGCCCGAATCCAAGGCCTTCCTCGATCTGGCCTCAACCCACCTGCCCAGCCCGAACTCCCCTTAATCCCTCACACTGCACCACACTGGACAATTGTGCTCCTGCCTCTATGCCAGGACTCATGCGGCTCCTTCTTCTTGATGCCTTTCCTCTACCCCGACCTTCCGAAACCCTACTTCTTTTTCAATGACCCGAGTGCCACCTCCTCCATTACTCGCTCCTCACTTCTCTAGAGTGGCCTCACCCAGCCCCAGCTCACACACCATATATCACATCCATGTATCTTGTATTACATTGATTTATGTATGTGCATCTTTTCAATAGATTATACGTAAACTTCACAAGTAGAGAGGCCAGTGGAGAACCCACCCAGGGTAACACAGTGAGTAAACGCAAAGGTGAGGTTCTAACCTGGGCAATCCGGCTCCAGAGAGCTCTGGTTCTTAACCACTAATTCACACTGTACCGTAATCTTCCATCAGCCAGAGCGCCTAGCTCGGAGCTCTGCACACAGTACCATTCAACAGCTTATCAAATGAGTAACTTTTTGAAACACTGATCTAATTAGCACCTCTTGAACCTTCATTGACTTGTGGGCTATTGGGAGCCAGCAACTTGGTCTCATTAATCTGAATTAGAGTGCCCGGTCATAGATCCAATTATGAGCAATTTCAGAATTATAATTACTGGCCCACTTTGTCTCTTGATCTATAATACATATGAGGACCTCCTCCCAGCTTTTTTTTTTTAATATATTTTATTGATTTTTTACAGAGAGGAAGGGAGAGGGATAGAGAGTTAGAAACATCGATGAGAGAGAAACAGATCAGCTGCCTCCTGCACACCCCTTACTGGGGTTGTGCCGGCAACCAAGGTACATGCCCTTGACCGGAATCGAACCTGGGACCTTTCAGTCTGCAGGCTGACGCTCTATCCACTGAGCCAAACTGGTTAGCAGGGGTGGGCAAACTTTTTGACTCGAGGGCCACAATGGGTTCTTAAACTGGACCGGAGGGCCGGAACAAAAGCATGGATGGAGTGTTTGTGTGAACTAATATAAATTCAAAGTAAACATCATTACATAAAAGGGTACGGTCTTTTTTTTTTTTTTTAGTTTTATTCATTTCAAAAGGCCGGATCCGGCCGGCGGGCTGTAGTTTGCCCACGGCTGGGTTAGGGCCTCCTCCCAGCTTTTAAGGAAGAAAGAAACAAAGCGATTACTTACTGAAGGCCAGCAAATGTGTTTTTCTGAAGCTTCCAGCTCCCATCTATTTTTTTTTTTATATGAACGCTTCCGGAATTTGCATGTCATCCTTGTGCAGGGGCCATGCTAATCTTCTCTGTCTCGTTCCAGTTTTAGTACATGTGCTGCCGAAGCGAGCACACCAGCTCCCGTCTTCCCTGCGAAGTGAAGGGGCTGGACTGACCGTCTCTGAGGGCCGGGTCTTCACTGTTGACAGTCTGTGACTCTGGGAGACAGAATGGAATTAACAAGAGCCCTGCCTGCCTCTGTGTCAGAAGGTATCCTGTTGAGTCTCAGCTCCCCAACTCCCAGGTCCCCCATCTGCAAAACCGGAGAACAAGACAGGCATGGCCCCACTCGGCCAGCTAAAACCATAAGGTGACCCCCAGATTGTGGAGCTGTCCGAAGAAACTGAAGCGATCAAATCCGTGTGCAAACTATAAAGTCTAGTACAGCATCAAAAGATGACGGTCTTACGGAGGCTGGGGGAGGCAGAAGAGGGTATGGGGGTAGAAGAGAGGATGGGGGTAAAAGGTGATGGAAGGAGACTTGGGGTGTGAACACACACCACTGTCTACAGCTGATGTATATTATAGAATGCTTCACCTGAAATCTATATAATTTTAACCAATGGCGCCCCAATAAATTCAATAAAAAAGACATCTTGACAGGATTTCAGTTTTGCGAACTCCAGTGACAACAGCGATGTTGCCTATTTTGCTGTTTTTGAGGAAAGCCTCCTGGTGTGTTTCCAGCAAACCCAGTCCCCGCCCGCGGGCAGCTTCCCGGCCTCCCCGCTGGGTGCCC